CAACGATGCAAATGAATTCGTGGGCACGTGGCAAATCTGTAGTTGGCTGCAAATAAGCCAGCACAACACCGGCATGGGGTCAATCTAAGCCGAGCGCCATCGCCAAGCTTTCCTTTTAGATGTTGACGGAGGCACCTTTTGATCTCTTCTATTGGTTCGGCTTCACAAGCCCTAGCTACCACATAGGAGCTGACGATCGCTGGGGACTGCTAACAACGTGCCTTGTGCGCCGGACGCGCCAGACACATGCCACGCAATACCCCGGTCGCTGTGGGCAGTTAGAAACCCGTGATCCCATGTCTGAGCTGTCATATCTGAATCTCCCGGTACACTTCACAGGCTCATCGAGTCATGTCTTGCTTGTAGTGTGAAGATCCATGTGGCTTTGGAAGACTCACTGCTGCTAAAGAATCTGCAATGCTTGAGAACAGCCTTGATTTCAGCATATGCTCCTTGCATTCTCAAGCTTGAGCATGCGATTTGCAGCTGGACACGATTTATTGCCTGTCTTTGTGGACTTTGCACCATCCTTCCATCACAAGGTCATTATCTACTGGTACCTGATGCTTACCTGCTGTACATTCCAGCATGGAAGCAACCCTTTTGATCGCATCAGCCTGTCCATAATCACGCGCGCGGCTTTCTCTGGTATTGCGGCAGCTTCAAAGATCGCGCCAAAGCTTCGTGGCACTCTGCAGGATTCCCTGGCATCCGTTCACTATCTGCACCAAGTTCAACAGAAGTTACTCGCATTCTCTTGGAGGTTCTTGAAGTCTCTTGAGGTCTCTCGAGGTCTCTAGGCTCGCGAAATCTCTAAAAAACTGGTGAAGCAAGCAAAAAATCAAGCCCTTCTCCTACAAGGGCACTCTTTCCTGCCCCTTGCCTGCAGTTCTTCTGGTGGCTCCTGGCACTCCTTGCATGCCATCTTGCAGCAGGACCTGCGATTCGGCACAGCTCGCACGGGGCTGTGTCAAAATAGGGGAGCCCTGCAAAATGGGTGGCGAATTCCTTTTGAAACAACCCAAAAGGACGTGCCCGGAGAAACACAACCCCGCTGATATGTGTCATGGTCAAAGCCTGTGGGCTGCAGTCCTGGAACCCTTCCAAGAGGTTGGAGACCATCCCCACCAACCCCAAGTATGCCGGTCAACAGTGACCATGGCATTTATTAGAAGATGGACGAAATCCACTGTCTCACCCCCACTGTCTCGTGTGGCTGGCCCTGCCAAGCTTTCAAGTGCTCAAGCCTGCCTCCTCGGCGTGACGGGGCGTATGGTTTCTCATGGTCGCCCTGGTATACGTTGGTAGTTGATTTATCCTGCTATTCCTAGGTGTTCATTCATCCTGCATTATTCATAAGATAGATGAAGCCCTACAACAAATGGGGATAAACCACCTACCGCTGGTGTGTAGTGGATTTTGTCCATCAGTAGTATCAGAAAACACTGACTGCTGCATAATACATCTAGAACCAGTCGTTAGCAAAGGGAAGTTCCCTTTCAAAGGAAAGGAAAACAGCTTGAGTGCGTCACTGCCGTTTTCAAACTGTGAGGTCTGAAGCCATGCCAGGCTCAGCAATGCAGATGCGAGATCCGCGCTTCCAATGCTTGTAGGAGAGGTGCCTGGCACCATGAAAAGCAAAACTACACACACATACATGTGTTCTATGTTATAGTATATAGGTTATGGCCCCCCCAGTATCTACCTTTGTTTCCTTGATAACAAAAAGTAGGTTGGGTGCTTTACTTGCTGTTTTTTAAAGTGTTTCTTGAATGTTGAGACTTTGGTCAGAAATCCAAGGCTAGCTTTAGCAGACGTGTTGACGTTCATTAGACGGTGTGGGTGGGCCAGGCTTGGAAGCAGTGAGGCTTGAGAGCCTTCAATTGGGCTGACTTGGAGCTACGCTTGAGAGCTTGCAGCTTGCAGAAGCAGACCAGTTTGAGTCATAGAGCTCTTGAATTGCCAAAACGCGGCCTAAAAGCTCCAAGACCCAAAATGTGATTCTGTTTTCCTTGCAGCAGCTTGGAACTGTTTACGGGTTGAAGGATTTGTTTTCGGGCCTTACACCAGTAGGGTGTTTAGGGTGGGGATTTAGAAGGTTGGCTTAAGGTATGTTTAGGGTAGGCTCAGGGTAGGTTTTGGGTAGGTTAGGGTGGGTTTAAGGTGGGATTAGGGTTGGTTTGGTGCAGGCTTGGGGTAGAGCGCGCCGGCCCCGAATTTTGCGTTTCGAGGCTTGAAGCGATCGTTTCGGGCCCGTCCAAACTTGTCCAGAACGCGAAAATGCTCTGCCTTGTCGATCTGGCCGATCCGTCCCGGCCGCCGGGTGGATAGCAGTAACTTTCGCAAATTCTTGCGCGCAGAAATTTGTAGTTGTGGATGCGCCGTCCTAAGGTTAAGCCCGTCGTCGACTCGCAAAGCAGGCAAGCCTCGAAGTGCATGTGTAGGGCCCTTGTTTTCTGGAAAGTCCCTCCGGGGCCCGAAACGGCGAGCTCGAGCTTCGAAACTTGTTGTTCGCGCCCGCCCCGATCCCAAGCACATCCAAGACGCGAAAACGCAGCGCTTCGGCTTTGTCGGTCTAGTTGCTTGCCGCACAGGAGCCAGCGCGCAGGATACGGGTAGGGAACCGTGAGCCGCTCGCGCAGCGACTCGCCAGACGCAGACCGAAGTGCCGCAGCGCAGGTCATGGCAAGGCGCGAAGCGAACGTTTAGGAATCATCGGCTTTGCGCAACGCAATCTGGATTCCAGCGCCTGTTTCAAAAAGAAAGCCCGCCTCAATATATGTTTACTCACCTGAGCAATGCATGCACGCAAAAAGAGCTGGAGTTCAAAAGCGACGCGACAAACACACACACCCACACACAGACACACACACACAGACACACACAGAGAGACAGACAGACAGACAGATAAACAGACAGACAGACACAGACAGACAGACCGACCGACCGACCGACCGACCGACCGACCGACCGACCGACCGACCGACCAGACGAACAGACGAACAGACAAACAGACAAACAGACAAACAGACAAACAGACAAGCAGACAAACAGACAAACAGACAACACACAAACACAAGCCCCGCAAACACGCGGTCACAGGTTGCGAGTGACAAGCAAGGTGCCCACACTGAACTACTCTTTTGTTTGGAGCGTTTTAGCGGCGGCATGTCACCAAGCGCAACCCCGCAACGAGTCTAACTTTGCCTGTTAGCCTCGCGCAACACCTTGCAGCCAGCAACCAGGCAGCCAAGCACGACCGCTGCCGCTTCTAGGGCCCGGCGTCGTTGGGTTATTGCCAACACGCGCAAGCCCATCGCAGCTCAGCTGCTTGGAGCTGTCAGGATCTCGCCCGAAGGGCACCCACGGCTCTATCGGGAGTTCTCAGATCAGCTCCTGCTGAACACGACGAGTCTCAGAGACCACGACCGCGGCCGCGCCACGCGCTGCAGCTGGCGCTCGACAAAAACAAACGGTACAGCGCCAGCATGACCTCCAAGGCTTGCCAATGAAGATCTGCGCAAAACATGCGCCGACCAAAGCGCACCAGCAAGCAAACGAAACCCGCCTTCGCAAGCGGAGCGCATTCGCGTGTGCGCTCCAAGGCCTCGCGACAGCGCCAACTGACCTCGGTGACGCAGCCCCGCGCGATCAGCCACGACCAGCCACGATAAGCGCGCGCGGGCCGTGGGCAAATCCAGAGCCTCGTAGTCCTGCAGCTTGACGATGAGAGCTTGCACGTTCCGATTTCCACATCCTCGCGTGTCGAAGATGCACAGGAACCGTGCGACCCTGCGAAAGCTCCTTCATCAGGCACTTCCAGGGGCCGGCCAGAGCCTTGAACGTCCGCCAAACGCTAGTGGAGTTGCCCGCCGCCCAAGAGCGCCTGCCTGGCGCCCTTAGAGATGTGGCGCCGCCCGCTTTCCTTCGCTTCCACGAGGCAGCCTCCTCCCTGCCTTCTGCCCAGCGGACTTTGACTGCGTCTTGCGGCGCCCGGGTGACTTTTGCGCGGTCCTTCTCCGCGGCTGCCGCCTTCTTGTCTGCGGGGGTTGGGGTCGGTGGTGGAGACGACATCAAAGCTGAAGTCTTCGGCGTCCAACTTCTCGACGCTTTCCACCTTGGCGCACTCCCTCCGTCGGCAAGCAATGGGTCGACCATTAGGATGCCTTTGACTAGGCAAGTCGCGCCTGTGCTTGTTGGCAAGACTTGAGCCACCCCCAAACCTTATCTGGGCTGAGAACTCTTGGCTTTCAGCTGTTGGGGAATAAGTCTAAATAAAAATCTAGTTGAAATCCGGTCAAAAAAGAAATCATACTGATATTCTAGTTGAAACTAACTAGACATTCTACTAGAAATTTGTAAAGTTGTTCCTATGTAAATTATGATGAAAGGATTGAACAAGTCTTGTTGGAAATAGAACTTCCTTACTAAATTCAATTTAATGTTTATTTAATGTTTAACTCTCGAGAAAGGGATTCCCCCTTTCACATCTGAGTTGACATTACAAAACACAGTTGATATTTAGTGAAATCCTCTTTACAAAGGAGACCCTAGTTCAATTCTAACTGAAATTAGAAATTCTACTAGAATTCGGTCCTCGTTGGATTCTATTTAGAGCATCATTGAGAAAACGTGAAACAATCCTCCTGAGAAAGAAAATCCCTTTAACACCTAATTTGACATCATCTGGGAAAAAAACAACGATTTGCAGTTTAAATTCTAGTTGAAGCCAGAGATTCTACTAGAGTTCTTTCCAAATGTGTATATATATATATATGTATATTCAAATTCTAACAAAAAGATTGCACAAATCATCCTGGAAAATGAAATCACCTAGTTGAAATCCATCTGAACAAGGAATCCAAGTTAAGTTCTCTCGCTGGAATTTCTGCTGGGATCCGGTCCTCATTAAATGTTCCTTCCAAACATGACACGCATGCAAAGGTAGATCACAGGGGGGAGCTGTGTCTATATATGTATATATGCACACGCACACGCACGTACCCAGAGTGACACGCCCCAAAGCATCCACGGACCGGACCAAGCAAGTCAGCTGCTCTTGATGTCAGGACACTGGAAACCTTCAGCTTGGAAGATGTGGTGCAGGATACACGCCGCCGCCACGCTTCTGTGTTTGCCTCGGCGGCAGTACCTCGAGGCGTTGTTTGCTCAAAAACTCGCCTGTCTGTGCAGAATGGCATGAGCGCACACTGCCACAGAAAGCTTCATCTCAGATCTGGGACCTGCTCACGGGCCCGAGTATGCACTGCAAACATCGTGTCAGTGGGCAACGTCAACAGGGTTTGCCACGCTCCCTTTGCTTGCCTTCCACACTGCTTGCAGACTTGCACTCAACATGTTGTGTGCTTGACACCCTCTGTTTGCAAGCCTTTCAAGTCTTGTTTCTCTGCTCTGCATTCCTTCTGAGCGTGAACCACACGGAAGACAGGCTGCCATGCATCAGAAGCGAACTGACGGCTGCCTCGTCTCTCGATTCGAGTGACCACCTGTCAGAAGCCCGCCATGTACAAGCAGGCACGCATACAACGATGCCCTACACAGTTGAAGAAAAAGGGCCACTTAGCTGTGGGTCAAAAGTAGGTACTCAAAATGGAACCCTGGCAAATGGAAACATAGACTAAAACCTGCGGTCCCCTGGTGGTTTCATTTTGACCCATAGTCACTTTAAGGATTGCCCTTACTCTACTTGCAACATTTAAGGCATCCATGGCTTGAGAGGCCCAAAAAACCAGCTCTGCTCTCAGCCCCCGCCTCTCGGAACCTTCTCTTTGCGATCCCTAGCCAGACTCGAAAGTTCCTGGCCAACTGAAGACACTGTCTCGCCTGAAGGCTTGACTGACCATACATCCTCGAACAACGCTCAAACCAACATCAGAGTGGAAATCAAGGAATTGAGTGTTCTTCACCAAAAGCTGAAGGCAACTTGAATGAAATTCTAGTCCTGTGCTGGACTAGGCGACTGATGATGAGGTGATGTCTTCCAGAGTGCCTGCGAACGAGTGGTCGCTGGAATCAGTCTTGCTCTGATGGAGCAAGGATGCACAAGTTGAGGCTATCTTCATCAAGGTGGGGATACATCTTTATGGTGCGCTCAAGCGGCACGCCACAGGAAACAAGCTGTTACTGGTGCAGTTCAAAGACATGCGCACAAGGATGCAATAATTTGGCCTCGTCAGATGCATGGCATCTGGGTCTGGAAACCTGAGCGACGAAAGCAAGATGCGTGCCAAACTCCGAGATGATTGAAACATGTCATGCCAGGGGCCAAACAGTGCCTTGTGACTGGAAGCTCATGAATGATGCTGCCAAGGCATCACAAGAAAAAACGAGCGGCATCCGCGCATCCAGGATGATCTCCGACGGGAATCCCCTTAGCAACCAGGGCCGGGAAAGCAGTCATGACTTGCATTGGCAGTGGCTCATGGTTGTGACGCAGGGTGGAATGTTGTTTCCACCTCCAAGCACATGGGTGAAGAATATTCCTCAGCCAAGTCGCATGTTGCTCAAAGACTCAGAGATCAAATACTCCGGGACGTCAGCCGATCCCCCGCCGCCTCAAAGCACACCAAGTGGAAAAACGCGACGATTCTTCGACCCGCTTCTTACGTCAAGCCATGAGCTCAGGCGTGTCTGGCGCCCCTTGGAGAAAGATGAAAATTGCGTCTGAGCACTGCACCCATCTCCATCGTTTTGTCTGCAAGGGCATAGTCCAGAGTCTCTAGTCCGAAGGTCCCCTGAGCTACCCATCGACAGAGATACGGCGTGAGACGTGAGAGTTGCCTCGATTTCTGCAAGCATAACCAATCTCCCTCTCAGTAGCTCTTTTCTAAAGCAACGGATGCAACACACGGAAGTGCTGACAGGTCAGCAAACATGATGGTTCGGGATGGTCAAACGTCAGATATAACATCATTGTATATTATTCGCTGGCTACTGGTTAATGAAGGAGAAAGCTTCAACGAGCAACGCAAGCGTCGAACTGAATGGGCCATCAAGAGCACTATGATTGGCCGGTAGAGTCTCCCTCGTGGAAACTCCACCATTGCCAGCACTGTCCATGTACGATCATGTTCTGGGCTGGTGCCATGACCACCCTTGTTCACAGGCTGGTTGATTGTCCTGACGTCAACTCAACTATCCCAGCGTGTTTTGTAGTTGCATCACTTACTTGAGTTGCTCACGCAAAAGCCTGAGCCCAGTGCCAACAGAATATGCCTGGCGGCGCCGCCGGCAGCATCTGCATCGCTGATCTGGCATGCTGTGCGGGAGGAAATCCTTGCATGCGGACACAAAATAGGCTGTCTAAACTGAGATCCCAAGCACTGAAGGGCTGCAAAACACTGCTTCTCGACTGAGCGGCAGCTTTTTGACGACCCCTGTTTGCTTTCCATGACTGGACAATCCACTGCCTTTGAAGAGACACAGGTCGGAACTCTGCCTGACAGGGAATCAAGGACAGGCTTTCTTCCTGCACGCATGGCAACTCTTTTGCATGGAGCAGCAGCAGAAATTCTTCAGCCTGTCGTCCAAGGGCTGACTGGGATGTCAAAGCTTTGTCAAGTCATGAAGCTTTTGTCTCACCCCCAGCTGACTCCCTCTGTCGGGCCTCCTGAGATGATGCGGTCCTGAGGAAAACGGCTGAAGTCTGCGCATTGCCTGCAAAACATTGCACAACCAAAGCCACAATTTGGGATAGTCTTTCAGTGGCACAAGCCAAGTGTTGGGAAGCCCTTTGGGGAGGACCCACACGGCCCAAGACTAGCCGTCAATACTCCACCCCCATCGCGTCTCCGCGTCTCCGTGGGAGTGGCCTGGGGCTCTGTAGGTGGGGGCGGCGGTGGCAAGTCCTGCCACGCGAGCCGGAACCCGGTGCAAACAAAGCTCCAGCTCCCTGACTCGACCTTAGCGCGTGGCAACTTTTGCTCAAACCCCTGGTAGGTTGGTTTACGGCTAGTGAGTGCCCCAAATGAACGAACTCAGGGATCCCCACTCAAAGGAGATAACCTCTTGACCATCGAGTGGGGGGCGTAACTTACACCAAATCAACCCATTGACCCTACTTAGCCCCGTGGAACGTGCATACTTGCAGGAAGTTCTTTTGGTTAGTCGGTCAGCGAAAACAGGTGATGAAGTCTAAAGGTGAACTACGGCTCTTTTCAATAGGTATCCTGAGCAGGGAACTTCACGGCAATTGTGCAGGTCAATTGCAGAATTTCTCAAAACTGGCGCCTGGCAAGTATTTTTTGTTTGGCTCCAAAATCAAGACATGTTCAACGGAGATGCAAAGGCAAGAAAGCGCAGTTCCAAACGATGCATGAGACCGGTGACCCGCCTCCACTTTCTCCGGGCCCTTCCCAGCTTCAGACGTCCTTTCCTCGTGGAAAGCGCCATGCCACCCATCAAAAAGATTACCCGGCGCCGGGAGAAAGACTGAGGCTCCAACCGGTGCTGACTGGCCGGGCCTGGCATCTAATTCAGCCCATGGCAACCCGTCCTTCGAAAGAGCGCACCCCAAATCGCTAACGCCATGCGCGGCCTCGGCGCTGGTCGCAAGGGCCGCGGGGGCACTGCCTAGGCTTCAAACTGCTGGCCGAAAGGCCCAAAGGCCCAGGTAAATCAGAACATGCTGGACCAGTCAGGCTTTCGTGTACGCACAAATCTCCTGTTCAGTCCCACCTCTGATATCACTGTGACGTGTCTTTTTGGGAAGCCCGCTGTTTGATGTGAATGGAGAAAACCAAGTCCGTTTTCCTTCGCGCACACACACACACACACACACGAGTGTGCTGCAGGCGGTGGATGCTCCGGCGGAGGCGGAGGCTCCTGACATGCAAGTAACCCATGTTTGCACTGTGTGCAAACATCAATGACCTTGAAGTTGTGATGGTGCAACGTTCTGTGTTTGTGTTGTTCGACTTTAGAATGGCCTTCCCTGTTTGAACGAACCCTAAAGTTGGGCCCCAAACAGGTGAGCATCTGTGGATGGAGATGCACCCTGCACATCTTGGCATAAACCACCCACTGGATGGTTCATAATTTTGTGCATCAACATACTCAACAGTACTCAACAATACTCAACAGTACTCAACAGTACTCAACAGTAGTCAACAGTACTCAACAGTACTCAACAGTACTGCAGACCCTGGTAGACCCACCCATTCCCGCCTTGCCGTCTTGGCTCAAATCCTCCGTCTTCATCCAGCCAGCAATGCTCTGACGGAGCATTACCTGCAACAGCAATGTTGTACAAAGTATCAAGAGCGTCCAGATATACGAGCTTGTGTTTCGGGGAAATCCCCCCTTCAGTTGGCTTTGGCGAGAACTGAACGCAAACCAACCATTCGAGACAAACCCGTATATGCCTATATGCATGCCCCTGCCTATCCGCTCAGGATGCGCATGCAAATCAGTGTAAGCCATAAACCCAGCTAAGAAAACCAAATGCCCCAAGCCCCGTTTTCTCTAGATACCAGGCTCTGCCTGAACGCCTGTAGCCTTTCTGTGCTTCAATCTTGCGAGCTTGCCTTGCCTTCGTCCAGTCATCCTTCTGCTCAAGCACCTTGACGGGGCAGCCAAGCAAGAGCATCTGACCAAACTCTGAGTTGTTTGTGGCAGGAAGGTAAATTGGAAGCCTGCTCTCTAGAGTTTGTTCCCTCAACTCTATCGGCCAGCCTTTCATCCTTACCTCAAGCCCTTCAGGTTGACCGCTGCGATCCAGTGGCCCGCCTGCACGACCAAGCCGGGGGTGACGGTCACCTGGGCTGCACAAGTTCTGGGCTCGGGACATTTCTTGCTCTTGTCTGGCGCTTTGCTTGGATACAACCCGCTACTTGCAAGGCCCTCCCAACAGGTATGTGTCAAAATTGGTGGGCATGTGTCCAAATAAGGTAGTTTCCATTTCTGTACCTGCAGGTGTGGCAAACCCCGTCGAGCACTGCACCTTCCGCTTCTCATACGTGGCGTACTCAGCCTCGCGATCCTGGTCTGGACCAGTCGCTTGAGGCTTTTGCTGCCAACGCCTTGAGATGAGGCATACGGTCACTCAGAGTGTTGTGTGAGTGTGTGAGAGTTTGTAAGCTATGGAAAGGCGCAAAAACATCCACAGTTGTGTAAGCGTGCGAAACGTTGCGCAGGAGTACGTAAACATGTAAAAACTGTGCAAATATGGACAAGCTCAAATCGTGTTTCAAGCAAACTTGCACAATGTGAACAAGAGCAATATGTGTGGGTGTGTGCACATCTGCTTGAGTTCGAACGTGTGTTTGTGTGCTTGTTTGCTCGTTTGTTCGATTGTTTGTGGATTTCTTTTTTTCATGTGTTGGTTCGTTTGTGTGTTTGCTTGTTTGTGTGTTTGCTTGTTTGTGTGTTTGTGTGTTTATGTGTCTGTGTGTTGTGTGTTTGTGTGATTGTTTGTTTGCTTGTTTGCTCGCTTGCTTTGCTTTGCTTGCTTGCCTGCTTGCCTGCTTGCCTGCCTGCCTGCCTGCTTGCCTGCTTGCCTGCTTGCCTGCTTGCCTGCTTGCCTGCTTGCCTGCTTGCTTGCTTGCCTGCTTGCCTGCCTGCTTGCCTGCTTGCCTGCTTGCCTGCTTGCCTGCTTGCCTGCCCTGCCTGCCTGCTTGCCTGCCTGCCTGCCTGCCTGCCTGCTTGCCTGCTTGCCTGCTTGCCTGCTTGCCTGATATCCTGCTTGCCTGCTTGCCTGCTTGCCTGCCCTGCTTGCGCGCTTGCGCGCTTACTTGCTTGCGCGCTTGCTTGCTTGCTTGTTTGGTTCCCTGTTTTTTTTGGTTTGCCTGGCTGTCTGTCTGTCTGTCTGTCTGTCTGTCTGTCTGTCTGTCTGTCTGTCTGTCTGTCTGTCTGTCTGTCTGTCTGTCTGTCTGTCTGTCTGTCTGTCTGTCTCTGTCTCTCTCTGTCTGTCTGTCTCTGTCTGTCTGTCTGTCTGGCTGGCTGGCTGTCTGTCTGTCTGTCTGGCTGTCTGGCTGTCTGGCTGTCTGTCTGTCTGTCTGTCTCTGTCTGTCTGTCTGTCTGTCTCTCTCTGTCTGTCTGTCTGTCTGTCTGTCTGTCTGTCTGTCTGTCTGTCTGTCTGTCTGTCTGTCTGTCTGTCTGTCTTTGCGTTTGTCTGTCTGTCTGTCTGTTCTGTCTGTCCTGTCGATCCTGTCTGTCCTGTCTGTCCTGTCTGTCCTGTCTGTCCTGTCTGTCTGTCCTGTCTGTCCTGTCTGTCCCGTCCCGTCCCGCCCTGTCCCGTCTGTGTGTCTGCCTGTGTGTCTTTCTGTGTGTCTGTGTGTCTGTCTGTCTGTCTGTCTGTCTGTCTGTCTGTCTGTCTGTCTGTCTGTCTGTCTGTCTGTCTGTCTGTCTGTCTGTCTGTCTGTCTGTCTGTCTGTCTGTCTGCCTGTCTGTCTGTCTGTCTGTCTGTCTGTCTGTCTGTCTGTCTGTCTGTCTGTCTGTCTGTCTGTCTGTCTGTCTGTCTGTCTGTCTCTGTGTCTGTTTGTCCGGTAGTGCCCGATCTGCTGCTGGCCTGCAGAAACTAACTCTGTTGCTGGTGTGAGCCGCAGCACAACAGCATGAAGCACACCCATGTAACACAGATGACGCTGCTTTGGGAGCTGACGCTGCTGACTAAAGCGTTCTGACTAAAGCAATATCGCTTCCTTAGTGCGGAGGGCCTTGCTGTTCCTGACGACCTTGCTTATCACAGTACGGAGGGCCTTGCTTTTCCTTAGGGCGCTGGGAACCTCACCTCCCCCAGCGTCCTCACCGCGCAAGCGCAGAACGGAGGACTTTACAAATAGTTTATGGTTTTCCTCAGGGCTTCGGGAACTTCACCTGCGGTAACACCCCCTTTTGTTAGTGTCCTCACCACGCAAGCGCAGTACGGAGGACTGTACAAAGGAAGTGTGTATGGTTCTCCTCAGGGAGTGGCTTTGGGAACCTCACCTTAAACAACAGCCCCCTAGCGTCCTCACTGCGCAAGATGATGTCACATGGATTTGGAGTTCCCCGTGCTACTTCCTCAATCTGCAGTTTCAGCATCTTGCTTATGATGTCGTCGCGCGCATGGTCCCGCCATGACGTCACATGGATATGAGGAGCGGACGAAACACTTTACTTGGCCCTAGTACTTTTTTGAACGTTATCGTTTTTGGGGGAGACCTTATCGTTTTACAGTGTTTTCGAACTTTGGCAGATCCGGCTCAAAAATCGCAACTTTGTTGTACAAGTCTAGTACGCGAGGCACACTTCCGCATCTCCAGCTCGAAAATCGCAACTTTGTAGTGCAAGTCTAGTACGCGAAGTACACTTCCGCATCTCCAGCTCGAAATTTACAACTTTGTAGTACAAGTCTAGTACGCCAAGTACACTTCCGCAGCTACGAGAAGTACACTTCCGCATCTCCAGCTCGAAAATCGCAACTTTGTAGTGCAAGTCTAGTACGCGAAGTACACTTCCGCATCTCCAGCTCGAAAATCGCAACTTTGTAGTGCAAGTCTAGTACGCGAAGTACACTTCCGCATCTCCAGCTCGAAAATCGCAACTTTGTAGTACAAGTCTAGTACGCGAAGTACACTTCCGCATCTCCAGCTCGAAAATCGCAACTTTGTAGTACAAGTCTAGTACGCGAAGTACACTTCCGCAGCTCCAGCTCGAAAATCGCAACTTTGTAGTACAAGTCTAGTACGCGAAGTACACTTCCGCAGCTCCAGCTCGAAAATCGCAAGCTGGTAGTACAAGTGTAGTACGCGAAGTACACTTCCGCAGCTCCAGCTCGAAAATCGAAACTTTGTAGTACAAGTCTAGTACGCGAAGTACACTTCCGCAGCTCCAGCTCGAAAATCGCAACTTTGTAGTACAAGTCTAGTACGCGAAGTACACTTCCGCATCTCCAGCTCGAAAATCGCAACTTTGCAGCACAAGTCTAGTACGCGAAGTACACTTCCGCAGCTCCAGCTCAAAAATCGCAACTTTGTAGTACAAGTCTAGTACGCGAAGTACACATCCGCAGCTCCAGCTCGAAAAACGCAACTTTGGAGTGCAAGACGCGAAGTACACTTCCGCAGCTCCAGCTCGAAAATCGCAGCTTTGTAGTACAAGTCTAGTACGCGAAGTACAAGACTTCCGCATCTCCAGCTCGAAAATCGCAACTTTGTAGTACAAGTCTAGTACGCCAAGTACACTTCCGCAGCTCCAGCTCGAAAATCGCAACTTTGTAGTACCAGTCTAGTAAGCGAAGTACACTTCCGCATCTCCAGCTCGAAAATCGCAACTTTGTAGTACAAGTCTAGTACGAGAAGTACACATCCGCATCTCCAGCTCGAAAATCGCAACGTTGTACTGCAAGTCTAGTACGCGAAGTACACTTCCGCATCTCCACAGCTCGAAAATCGCAACTTTGTAGTACCAGTCTAGTAAGCGAAGTACACTTCCGCAGCTCCAGGTGTCTGGCGAGCTTCGGGAAATGCGAAAGCTTTCGAAGCACACAAACTCCCGCAGCTCCCGCTCGAACAGCTCGAAAATTCGCAACTTTGTAGTACAAGTCTAGTGCGCGAAGTAACACTTCCGCAATCTCCACTCGAAAAGTTGCCAGTTTGGTAGACAAGTACTAAGTACGACGCGAAGTAACACTTGGCGCAGCACTCAAGCGTGAAATAGCAACATTGTAGCACAAGTCTAGTAACGCGAAGTACACTTCCGCAACTACCCAGCTGCATCGGAAATCGAAACTATTGCAGTACAATCTAGTACGCGAAGTACACTTGGCGCAGTTTGTAGTACAAGTCTATACGCGAAGTTACACTTCCAGCGAGCCCTCCAGCTTCGAAAATCCCAACTTTGTAGTACAAGTCTAGTACGCGAAGTACACTTCCGAATCTCCAGCTCGAAAATCGCAACTTTGTAGTGCAACACGCGCAGTACACTTCCGCAGCTCCAGCTCGAAAATCGCAACTTTGTAGTACAAGTCTAGTACGCGAAGTACACTTCCGCAGCTCCAGCTCGAAAATCACAACTTTGTAGTACAAGTCTAGTACGCGAAGTACACTTCCGCATCTCCAGCTCGAAAATCAAAACTTTGTAGAACAAGTCTAGTACGCGAAGTACACTTGCGCAGCTCCAGCTCGAGAATCGCAACTTTGTAGTACAAGTCTAGCACGCGAAGTACACTTCCGCAGCTCCAGCTCGAAAATCGAAACTTTGCAGTACAAGTCTAGTACGCGAAGTACACTTGCGCAGTTTGTAGTACAAGTCTAGTACGTACACTTCCGCAGCTCCAGCTCGAAAATCGCAACTTTGTAGTACAAGTCTAGTACGCGAAGTACACTTCCGCATCTCCAGCTCGAAAATCGCAACTTTGTAGCGCAAGACGCGAAGTACACTTCCGCAGCTCCAGCTCGAAAATCGAAGCTTTGTGTAGTACAAGTCTAGTACGCGAAGTACGCTTCCGCAGCTCCAGCTCGAAAATCGCAACTTTGTAGTACAAGTCTAGTACGCGAAGTACACTTCCGCAGCTCCAGATCGAAAATCGAAACTTTGTAGTACAAGTCTAGTACGCGAAGTACACTTGCGCAGTTTGTAGTACAAGTCTAGTACGCGAAGTACACTTCCGCATCTCCAGCTCGAAAATCGCAACTTTGTAGTACAAGTCTAGTACGCGAAGTACACTTCCGCATCTCCAGCTCGAAAATCGCAACTCTGTAGTGCAAGACGCGAAGTACACTTCCGCAGCTCCAGCTCAAAAATCGCAACTTTGTAGTACAAGTCTAGTACGCGAAGTACACATCCGCAGCTCTAGCTCGAAAATCGAAACTTTGTAGTACAAGTCTAGTGCGCGAAGTACGCTTCCGCATCTCCAGCTCGAAAGTCGCAACTTTGTAGTACAAGTCTAGTGCGCGAAGTACACTACCACATTTCCAGCTCGAAAATCGCAACTTTGTAGTACAAGTCTAGTACGCGAAGTGCACTTCCGCATCTCCAGCTCGAAAATCAGAACTTTGT